TCAACATCCATCTTACATACATCATTTCAACATCCACCTTACATCGTATCACCATCCATATTACATTACACCAACATCCATCTTACATACATTACACAAACATCCATCTTACATCGTATCAACATCCATCTTACTTACATTGCACCAACATCCATCTTACTTACATTGCATCAACATCCATCTAACTTACATTGTACCAACATCCATCTTACTTTCATTGCACCAACATCCATCTTACATACATTACACCAACATCCATCTTACATGCATTACACAAACATCCATCTTACATTGTACCAACATCCATCTTACTTTCATTGCACCAACATCCATCTTACTTACATTGCACCAACATCCATCTTACATACATTACACCAACATCCATCTTACATGCATTACACCAACATCCATCTTACATGCATTACACCAACATCCATCTTACTTACATTACACCAACATCCATCTTACATGCATTACACCAACATCCATCTTACTTACATTACACCAACATCCATCTTACATGCATTACACCAACATCCATCTTACTTAAATTACACCAACATCCATCTTACATACATTGCACCAACATCCATCTTACATGCATTACACCAACATCCATCTTACTTAAATTACACCAACATCCATCTTACTTACATTGCACCAACATCCAGACATACATTACACCAAACATCCATCTTAGTTACATTACACCAACATCCATCTAACATACATTACACCAACATCCATCTTACTTACATTACACCAACATCCATCTTACTTACATCGCACCAACATCCATCTTACATCGTATCAACATCCATCTTACATACATTACACCCACATCCATCTATCTTACATTGCACCAACATCCATCTTACATCGTATCAACATCCATCTTACATACATTCTATCAACATCCATGTTACATCTAATCAACATCCATCTTACGTTGTACTAACACCCATCTTACATACATTCAATCAACATCCATCTTACATCGTATCAACATCTATCTTACATTGCACCAACATCCATCTTACATACATCGTATCAACATCCACCTTACATCGTATCAACATCCATCTTACATCGTATCAACATCCATCTTACATTGCACCAACATCCATCTTACATACATTTTATCAACATCCATCTTGCATATATCGTTTCAACATCCACCTTACATCGTACCAACATCCTTCTTACATCGTATCAATATCCATCTTACATCGTATCAACATCCATCTTACATCGTACCAATATCCATCTTACATCGTATCAATATCTTACATCGTATCAACATCCATCTTACATCGTATCAATATCCATCTTTCGTATCAATATCCACCTTTACATCAAAATTAACATCCATTCTGGTTATCGGCTATCAATATCCATCTACATCGTAATCAATATCCACCTTACATCGTACCAAAATCCATCTTACATCGTACCAACATCCATCTTACATCGTATCAATATCCATCTTACATCGTATCAACATCCATCTTACATACATTGTATCAACATCCATCTTACATACATCGTATCAACATCTATCTTACATACATCGTATCAACATTCACCTTTACATACATCGTTTCAAATATCCACCTCTACATCGTATCAACACCATCTTGCATCATCCATCTTTTATATACATTGTATCAATATCCATCTTACATACATTGTATCAACATATCTTTACATACATCAACATCCATCTTTACATACACGTACATTGTATCGACATCCATCTTACATCACATCCATCTTATATACATTGTATCAACATCCATCTTACATACATTGTATCAACATCCATCTTACATACATACATCTTATCACAATATCCATCTTACTTACATTGTAACATCTCACTTACATTGTATCATCCACCTTACATCGTTTCATATACATCCGTCTTGCATCTTGCACATCCATCTTACATTGCACATACAACATCCATCTTATATACATTGTATCAACAACATCCATCTTACATACACCAACATCCATCTTACATGTTACACCAACATCATCTTACATCCAACATCTTACATACATCCATCTTTACAAATTTCATCCACCTTACATTGCACATCGTATCACCATCCATATTACATTGCACAAACATCAACATACATTACACCATCCATCTTACATACATACTTACAACACCATCCATACATCGTAACATCCAACATCATCCATCTTATTTTATCAACATCCATGTTATCGTATCAATATCCATCTTCACTTGCATACACGCTTCAACATCTGCCTTATCGTATCACCTATCACGACCACCTCCATCTTACATCCCAACATCCATCTTACATCGTACCATCTTTACATCGTATCAACATCATCTTACATCGTATCAATATCCATCTTACATCGTATCAATATCCATCTTACATCGTACCAACATCCATCTTACATCGTATCAATATCCATCTTACATCGTATCAATATCCACCTTACATCGTACCAACATCCATCTTACATCGTATCAACATCCATCTTACATCGTATCAATATCCATCTTACATCGTACCAACACATTACATACATCGTATCAACATCCATCTTACATACATCGTATCAACATCCACATGCATTACAACATCAACATACATCGTTTCAACATCCACCTCACATCGTATCAACATCCATCTTGCATTGTATCAACATCCATCTTACATACATTGTATCAACATCCATCTTACATACATTGTATCAACATCCATCTTACATACATTGTATCAACATCCATCTTACATACATCGTTTCAACATCCACCTTACATCGTTTCAACATCCAACTTACATCGTATCACCATCCATATTACATTGCATCAACATCCATCTTACATACATTGTATCAACATCCATCTTACATATATTGTATCAACATCCATCTTACATACATCATTTCAACATCCACCTTACATCGTATCACCATCCATATTACATTACACCAACATCCATCTTACATACATTACACAAACATCCATCTTACATCGTATCAACATCCATCTTACTTACATTGCACCAACATCCATCTTACTTACATTGCATCAACATCCATCTAACTTACATTGTACCAACATCCATCTTACTTTCATTGCACCAACATCCATCTTACATACATTACACCAACATCCATCTTACATGCATTACACCAACATCCATCTTACATTGCACCAACATCCATCTTACTTACATCTTGCACCAACATCCATCTTACATACATTGCACCAACATCCATCTTACATACATTACACCAACATCCATCTTACATGCATTACACCAACATCCATCTTACTTACATTACACCAACATCCATCTTACATGCATTACACCAACATCCATCTTACTTACATTACACCAACATCCATCTTACATGCATTACACCAACATCCATCTTACTTAAATTACACCAACATCCATCTTACATACATTGCACCAACATCCATCTTACATGCATTACACCAACATCCATCTTACTTAAATTACATTCAACATCCATCTTAGCCACATACATTATCAACATCCATCTTACATACATTATCCAACATCCATCTTACATGCATTACACCAACATCCATCTTACTTAAATTACACCAACATCCATCTTACTTACATTACACCAACATCCATCTTACTTCATTACACCAACATCCATCTTACTTACATCGTATCAACATCCATCTTACATACATTGTATCCAACATCCATCTGACATACATTACATCCAACATCCATCTTACTTACATTATCAACATCCATCTTACTTACATCGTATCAACATCCATCTTACATCATTGTATCAACATCCATCTTACTACATTACATCCACATCATCTATCTTACATTGTATCAACATCCATCTTACATCGTATCAACATCCATCTTACATACATTCTATCAACATCCATGTTACATCTAATCAACATCCATCTTACATCGTATCAACATCCATCCTACATCGTATCAACATCCATCTTACATCGTATCAACATCCATTTTACAACGTATCAACATCCATCCTACATCGTATCAACATCCATCTTACAACGTATCAACATCCATCCTACATCGTAACAACATCCATCTTACATAGTATCGACATCCATCTTACATACATCGTATCAACACCCATCTTACATACATCGTATCAACATCCATCTCACATCGCATCAACATTCTTCTTACATCGTATCAACATCCATCTTACATGCATCGTATCAACATCCATCTCACATACATCGTATCAACATTCATCTTACATCTCTCGTATCAATACCTCACCAAGGTCGGGGATGATGTTATGAGAAACTGCTTTGGACTTTATTCAGTTATGCGACAACTTATCAGTTAGTTTAGTTTTTATATCATAGTTATACACGCTATATTCTCATCCTTATCTCGTGTTTACGTAAAGTCAAGAATAGAGCAAGACATTTTTCTGAAGTATCCACAGAAATGTGAGATGGTAAAAGCGATGATTGTTTCTCAAAGAATCGTCAGGAACGGGAAAGCTTGCTGACGTACTTCGATGATGTGTGCGACGGCGTTGTCAATGAGATTACTTGGGGGCACCAAGCTTCACTAATGACCCTTTTCTAACAGTTATCCTTTGCGTAAAGATGTGGATGCAATGGCTGCCAATAGCTGCGAAATAGATCATGCTGCGTGAAGCGTTAAAATCAATCTCTTTATTTTGATATGTACGGTCCACCATGTGGGTGTATAAAGTTACACCATTTCAAGGGGGTGTATAAAGTTACACCATTTCAAGGGGGTGTATAAAGTTACACCATTTCAAGGGGGTGTATAAAGTTACACCATTTCAAGGGGGTGTATAAAGTTACACCATTTCAAGGGGGTGTATAAAGTTACACCATTTCAAGGGGGTAAATGTGTGAGGGGAATAAGACATGTAAAATCAGGCTGAGAGGTGAATTGTAAATGCGTCACATCTTGTTGTTGCAGTACCGGTCAGGGGTGGTCAACGTGACGACGGGTGGACGCCTGGGGTCGGCCCGGGAGCTGTACCACGCCCTCAACATGTCCCGGGTCCCGAGTCAAGGGGTGTTGGAGAGGGAAGGAAAGAAGCCGTTTTTCTTCATGAAGGTGAGTTCGCATTATCGTGGGCCCTGACGCTCCTGGTATCCAAACAGGATGCCACTCAAGAAACCATGGCAATGTGTTTCTAAAATCACTGGACAACAAGTCTCTTTAGAAGTGCCACAGTCTTGAACATGGCTTTTCAAATTCCATGGTACCGCGCCTAATTAAGCCTTAACTCCCAATGCCATCATTCAAAAGGAAGATCAAAGTGGCGCAGATCCTCACAACAATCTGTTGATCAGAATTAGACAGGGCACGGAGAAAGATGATTTAGCTGTTGATATTGTGATCATTCTTTGCAAAAAGCGTTTCAGGTCTTTTCCTTGTTGTGTATATAATTTGGAATTACATAGATGTCTGATAAACCCACGAGTTGCATGGAACCACCTCGTCCATTTTCAAAGTGTTTATGTTCTGTTTCACCTAGAGTCTTCTGAAGGAGGACTATCGGGTGTGTGAAGTCTTCCACCGGGTACTCTCCTATGAGGAAGACTTCCGCTGCAACAACGTCACTGACCAACTCTCAGAGTACATCTGTGGCCGGATGAAAAGGAATCACCCACAACATGAAGCACATCTCGGAGACTCTACACAAGCAGGTAGGTGACGTTTAGGAAAAACCTGACTACTCTCAGTCTGAACTTGACAGTACATGGGCCCCGGTCCATAAAGCCATATACACTAAACATTAGCCTCTATTTTTACATATGGAGTTGCACTAAGAGCTACCTCTGAAACAGGACCCATTTGTCCTGCTAAGATTAAGAACAGATATATGGTCTCTTGTAGGATGTTTGTTGAGGCTGTTTAAGAGGTGCCCTGTTCAGTTCAACCTGAATGTAACCCCTATGACAAGTAGAAACAATAAACTCTTGATAGGTAGGTAGGTAGGTAGTCGGTAGGTAGGTAGGTAGGTAGGTAGGTAGTCGGTACGTAGGTAGGTAGGTAGTCGGTAGGTAGGTAGTCGGTACGTAGGTAGGTAGGTAGGTAGTCGGTACGTAGGTAGGTAGGTAGGTAAGTAGGTAGTCGGTACGTAGGTAGGTACGTTGGTAGGTAGGTAAGGTTATAGGACTACCTTGGGCACTTAACACAGGACAGACCGGTGAGAGTTACCTCCCCATCTATATTCAAAACCATGGGTTTTTCCGATTTCTGTACGTCAAATTGCCAGAATGGCGTGGCAAATATATTCAACTTCAGACTCTCATTGTGGAATCATACGGGTTGATTATTTGAAGGCAGGTTGTCCGGGTTACAGTGGATATATGATCTCACTGTAAAGTATAAAAATAAGAATTTTAGTGTTCATCTCCATAAACTCTGGAAGCGAAAGGATATTAAAAAAAAATAATTTTAGTGTTCGCATGTCGATACACTGTGAGTTGATGTTTAGTTTACACCGTGAGGTGATGTTACGTCAACACTGTGACGTGATGTTACCGACAGGATGGTACGTTAACATCTAGGACGTTACGTTACGTTACGTTACCGTGTGTAGCCATGATGTTACGTTCATACTTGTTTCGTTCTCTCAGTTGACAGATTTCTTCCACGTGCCTAGCATCAACATTGACCAGCCGTCGCGACTAGAACGGCGTCTCAAAGCTGAGGTGAGTATTGGATAAGTCCGACTTTTACACAGCTTGACCTGCACTATGTCGACATTGGACTCGCCATGTCTTCTATTGGTTAACACGCATGCACGGGTCTCACAGCAGTCTCGGTTACGGCAATGCATTGGGCACAACTGCTTTTCTTACGTTACTAGAGAACAGACGATCCTGAGATGGAATACCAGAAAATGCTGCTTCAGAACCATACTACTGCTATGGCTGACGGACGTGTGTCTGTATAGAAACAAAACAATGAATGAACTGAGCTTCCCCATTTTCGAGGGTTGAATAAATTCCACCTGATTATAAAAGTATTGAGACATGAGCCCATGCAGTGCCAGGAATACCTGCTGCCAAAGACATAATGTCAAACATCAAACAGCGGAACAATAACAGCCATATGTGTTCCAAGCTCAGTGCAAACGAAAGTATACCGATTTGTTAAATATCCAGTTCGTTTTCGGTCTTTGAGACATCGACGTACGTTTCAGTTCCAGGAAGCGTTCTGTGTCCTGTACCCCCATCTCACAATATATAAAACGCTTTCTCCATCTTTCCTTTCAGCTAATCCGGAAAATGAATGCAGACGAAAGAAAAATGAAAAAAATGGACGTTTTTCCTGATAACGACTACCATGACGGAGCTGTGACTGAGGTGGACGACATGGACGCGTCCCAGACGATGGCCTACCGGAAGCGGAACCGGGCGACTGTGGCGATCCTGTATGCAGCCTTCTTACACCTCCAGGACACAGAGTCATCACTGAGGTACGCCCTGCGGGTCTTGGAGCCGCCACGAGACGCCAGCAACTTCTAGGGATGCTGTCGTCTGACGACAACGTAGTACTGCTGACGCGGGCCGCGTCCTCTCTGTCTCAGAAAGTGAAAGTTCGTCAACACGAACTCCATTAGGATAATACCACTGGATGATTCCGGCAGACTTATTGTGGACGCTACATCTCAGTACCCTCCTGTTTCCAACTATCGACAATTCCATAATATTCTCCATTGTACAAGGGTCTGAGTTTTCCGAATTTGCCATCAGTTGTTGCAATGTGTCACCATATGAAACTTTAAGTTGCGACATTGTACCTGTACAGCTGTAGTACTGTCCTCAATCCCTGGATGTGGTGCTGACTGTCATGACAGACCGAACTTCCCTTGTGCTCCGTCCTGGGCTGCAATAACCTCTGTCTTCTCCTCCACATCCCGTGGTAACCTCCATATATTCAACATCTCCCGCACAAAGATAATACGACACGGAGGACCAAATTCGTATTTACGATAAGTAATAATATAATGACCTAACATTTATAAATTTTGTTCACGATGTGAAGTTTAGGTCCCCCTTACATTGGCTGTTGGTCTGTCAATATGATGACGTTTCTGGTTCGTTTGCTGCCAGCTCTCACAGTACCTGCAGTGATGTTCTATGTTACAATATACGATCTAGATTGCACCTCCATAGCCTGGCTCAGCAGAATTAGACTAGCTGAGTTAGTGATACATCACACATCATCATTGTGAATACCATTGCCGTGTATATAAAGGCTGTTACCAAAGACTACCAAGTGTTGGGCGACAGATACGCAGATCTCGAAGTGAACAGAAGCGTTGGTTTGTAAGTTTTTATCTGAACCTTCAAAGGAAACATATTGTGTGATTTTCACCAAGATTAAGATGTTTCCATTTTACTGTACATGTGGGTATCACACACCTCTGAGACCACACGTTTTCGACAAAGGGAACATTATCACGTGACCTTCTGTAACACACAAACTTGTCAAAAATAATTCAGTCCATAGATGTATTCGGGCTCTAACGCGATCCTGTGTTGGGTCACAAATAGGTCTCGTCAAACAAAACGTCTTGTTAGACAGACGTAATGTCTCATTACGCTAATGTATTAGTCATAACATTTCTTACATGAAGCATATGTTGGTCAGCCTTCAGTGTGGTGTCCACACCAACAGAAGGCAACATCTCGTTACGGGTAGTAGTTGATGCACGGGTGTGCGACTGGTAGTTTCCAAAGGCTGTGTTAGTTATGTACATTTTATATCTTCGCATATTCCTCACTTATGTACTTGTCCGTGTTGTACAGGCGTTGTGCACGTTGTATATACATGCCTTATATGATGTATTTAAGTTTGAAAGCTGGAACTGTCTCGACATCCATCACAGTGTTCGACATTCTTACTCATTGTCATCGTGAAGACGCACGTGTCATCCTTTCCCATATATCATCCTGCATCCAGAAGCATCAACATCGTCTACTGATCTGTATTATTTTATTAAATCAATATCATTCTGATCATCGCGAGTTACGTGTTGTATGACTCTCAAGGGGCCAGGGGGTAGGCGGGCGGGGGAAGGGCTCGGGGCTCACATCTTCTCTAATCGTCCAAGGCAGGCGTTCATCGTCATGATATGCACAAGCATGTCTCTGCTATGTCCGTGATTTAATATTACACGATTTAGTATGACAAGTCGGCATCTCGACTGTTTTGGGTTCCGGTGTCCTTACGTACAACCTAATGCACAGCAACGGTTCTTAATTATTTCCGCGCTGTGACATTTTAGTTGGAGCTTCCATAGTCACGTGATCGTTTGTTACAAAGCTACGTAAATCGACACTGGACGAACTGACAGTTTATCAAAGTTATGTACACATACGTGTACATAACACGATTTAAATGCCAGAAAATAGCGACACGGAAACATGGCAATGTCAGATGTGTATGAAAGAAACTATTTCCAATGTAACCTTTTCTGCATCGACAAAAACGGGAGTGTTGGGGAGCAAGGTCACATCCCCCGATCACACGCATAGGCCTACCTCTCATTCTACCTTCCCGAGGAGTTTCTAACACTACAAGCTTTCCAAGAAATGACATGGTGTGTAAACATTGAGGCTAGGTCGGCGACAGCTCCTCGCTTTTTTAATAACCTACATTTGTTACAAACAGTAAAGCCGCAGGCAGTCAAGGAGAGGCTTTCACTTACTGAACATTGCCTGAAATACGTCATCAAAAGAATCAGGCACGACAAATGTCCCGCCTATTCACTACACGAACAGACACACTGCGTATACAGCAATTGCACAACAGTTGCACGTTCCTAAGTCGACAGATCTGAAAACTGCTTAATGCTAGCTATTTGAATCAAGCCCCGCTGTACCTTACGTGTCCAGTGTTTTCGTCATAATCTCACATCATCATCATCATTATCATCATCACTTCCTGGATACATGGGATTAAAGTTTATGTAGTTCTTCATGCATTCAATAATGTCGGCCAAGTATTTATATGACTGTGTATATCGGCGATAACCCAAAAGGCTGGCTGGAGGTCATTCTGTACAGCTGCACACAGTATTTATAGTGCAGATAGTGTAGCTGGTGCGATGAAATCAGTCCGATTAAACATTAGATAACTATTCAAACGGTGTCAGTTTATGAAAGAACGTCCTTTATCATTAAAACATTGATGCCAGCGGGCTTCAGAAGCGACTGCTCGGTGTTCTCGAACGTTGAGAGGGGTTCCCCGTTGAGCAAACGTGGCCTCAAATCACTAGCCACTTTTTGATAATGGGGCTGTTTACTCTGCCTTCCTGTGTGGTTCTATAGTCAGTGGATCACGGTGTGTAACAGCTGGACGCACATTATATGATGGAGCAAACATTACCCTCTGTCTTGGTATGGGAACAGTTGGGCGGATTGTATCAAATGTACCCTGCATCAGTCACGCAAAGCCATGTCTCGTCTTGTTGATATATTTTGTTTATTTACATGTGTAAATATTTATGTCAAGTTTAACTTTCTAAAATAAATTGCAATGATTGGCTGTGACTTTTTATTGAAATATTCTGCTGATAGAGATATGGTGAGCCCTGATGTCACCAACACAGACCACACAATGTCTTGAGAGACGGTGTGTCATGTGGTCACGCTGTTCCCATGTCACGTTATCATGAGGTTGAGTGAGTTAGGAGTTTTAGTCACATCGGCAGTATTTCAGCCAAACCGTGGCTGTAACTTCTAAAACTTTATTCCAGACCACAAGTGAATCATACATGTATACATGTTGTGGTGTACATGGGACATGTCACCCTCATTCCCCGAACCACATGATAATGCAAACATGGTGTACATGGGACATACTGTCACCACTGTCACCCTGAACCCCACAAACATGGTGTACATGGGACATACTGTCACCACTGTCACCCTAACATGGTGTACATGGGACATACTGTCACCACTGTCACCCTGAACCCCACAAACATGGTGTACATGGGACATACTGTCACCACTGTCACCCTGAACCCCACAAACATGGTGTACATGGGACATACTGTCACCACTGTCACCCCACAAACATGGTGTACATGGGACATACTGTCACCACTGTCACCCTGAACCCCACAAACATGGTGTACATGGGACATGGTCACCACTCACCACTGTCACCCTGAACCCCACAAAAACATGGTGTACTCACTCAGGACATACTGTCACTCACTGTCACCCTGAACCCCACAAACATGGGTCATACATACTGTCACCACTGTCACCCTGAAACCCACAAACATGGTGTACATGGGACATACTGTCACCACTGTCACCCTGAACCCCACAAACATGGTCTACTCAGGACATACTGTCACCCTGAACCCCACAAACATGGTCTACTCAGGACATACTGTCACCCTGAACCCCACAAACATGGTCTACTCAGGACATAAACTGTCTACTCTGTCACCCTGAACCCCACAAACATGGTCTACTCAGGACATACTGTCACCCTGAACCCCACAAACATGGTCTACTCAGGACATACTGTCACCCTGAACCCCACAAACATGGTCTACTCAGGACCCACTGTCACCCTGAACCCCACAAACATGGTCTACTCAGGACATACTGTCACCCTGAACCCCACAAACATGGTCTACTCAGGACATACTGTCACCCTGAACCCCACAAACATGGTCTACTCAGGACATACTGTCACCCTGAACCCCACAAACATGGTCTACTCAGGACATACTGTCACCCTGAACCCCACAAACATGGTCTACTCAGGACATACTGTCACCCTGAACCCCACAAACATGGTCTACTCAGGACATACTGTCACCCTGAACCCCACAAACATGGTCTACTCAGGACATACTGTCACCCTGAACCCCACAAACATGGTCTACTCAGGACATACTGTCACCCTGAACCCCACAAACATGGTCTACTCAGGACATACTGTCACCCTGAACCCCACAAACATGGTCTACTCAGGACATACTGTCACCCTGAACCCCACAAACATGGTCTACTCAGGACATACTGTCACCCTGAACCCCACAAACATGGTCTACTCAGGACATACTGTCACCCTGAACCCCACAAACATGGTCTACTCAGGACATACTGTCACCCTGAACCCCACAAACATGGTCTACTCAGGACATACTGTCACCCTGAACCCCACAAACATGGTCTACTCAGGACATACTGTCACCCTGAACCCCACAAACATGGTCTACTCAGGACATACTGTCACCCTGAACCCCACAAACATGGTCTACTCAGGACATACTGTCACCCTGAACCCCACAAACATGGTCTACTCAGGACATACTGTCACCCTGAACCCCACAAACATGGTCTACTCAGGACATACTGTCACCCTGAACCCCACAAACATGGTCTACTCAGGACATACTGTCACCCTGAACCCCACAAACATGGTCTACTCAGGACATACTGTCACCCTGAACCCCACAAACATGGTCTACTCAGGACATACTGTCACCCTGAACCCCACAAACATGGTCTACTCAGGACATACTGTCACCCTGAACCCCACAAACATGGTCTACTCAGGACATACTGTCACCCTGAACCCCACAAACATGGTCTACTCAGGACATACTGTCACCCTGAACCCCACAAACATGGTCTACTCAGGACATACTGTCACCCTGAACCCCACAAACATGGTCTACTCAGGACATACTGTCACCCCTGAACCCCACAAACATGGTCTACTCAGGACATACTGTCACCCTGAACCCCACAAACATGGTCTACTCAGGACATACTGTCACCCTGAACCCCACAAACATGGTCTACTCAGGACATACTGTCACCCTGAACCCCACAAACATGGTCTACTCAGGACATACTGTCACCCTGAACCCCACAAACATGGTCTACTCAGGACATACTGTCACCCTGAACCCCACAAACATGGTCTACTCAGGACATACTGTCACCCTGAACCCCACAAACATGGTCTACTCAGGACATACTGTCACCCTGAACCCCCACAAACATGGTCTACTCAGGACATACTGTCACCCTGAACCCCACAAACATGGTCTACTCAGGACATACTGTCACCCTGAACCCCACAAACATGGTCTACTCAGGACATACTGTCACCCTGAACCCCACAAACATGGTCTACTCAGGACATACTGTCACCCTGAACCCCACAAACATGGTCTACTCAGGACATACTGTCACCCTGAACCCCACAAACATGGTCTACTCAGGACATACTGTCACCCTGAACCCCACAAACATGGTCTACTCAGGACATACTGTCACCCTGAACCCCACAAACATGGTCTACTCAGGACATACTGTCACCCTGAACCCCACACAATCATGGTCTACTCAGGACATACTGTCACCCTGAACCCCCACAAACATGGTCTACTCAGGACATACTGTCACCCTGAACCCCACAAACATGGTCTACTCAGGACATACTGTCACCCTGAACCCCACAAAACATGGTCTACTCAGGACATGACTGTCACCCTGAACCCCACAAACATGGTCTACTCAGGACATACTGTCACCCTGAACCCCACAAACATGGTCTACTCAGGACATACTGTCACCCTGAACCCCACAAACATGGTCTACTCAGGACATACTGTCACCCTGAACCCCACAAACATGGTCTACTCAGGACATACTGTCACCCTGAACCCCACAAACATGGTCTACTCAGGACATACTGTCACCCTGAACCCCACAAACATGGTCTACTCAGGACATACTGTCACCCTGAACCCCACAAACATGGTCTACTCAGGACATACTGTCACCCTGAACCCCACAAACATGGTCTACTCAGGACATACTGTCACCCTGAACCCCACAAACATGGTCTACTCAGGACATACTGTCACCCTGAACCCCACAAACATGGTCTACTCAGGACATACTGTCACCCTGAACCCCACAAACATGGTCTACTCAGGACATACTGTCACCCTGAACCCCACAAACATGGTCTACTCAGGACATACTGTCACCCTGAACCCCACAAACATGGTCTACTCAGGACATACTGTCACCCTGAACCCCACAAACATGGTCTACTCTCAGGACATACTGTCACCCTGAACCCCACAAACATGGTCTACTCAGGACATACTGTCACCCTGAACCCCACAAACATGGTCTACTCAGGACATACTGTCACCCTGAACCCACAAACATGGTCTACTCAGGACATACTGTCACCCTGAACCCCACAAAACATGGTCTACTCAGGACATACTGTCACCCTGAACCCCACAAACATGGTCTACTCAGGACATACTGTCACCCTGAACCCCACAAACATGGTCTACTCAGGACATACTGTCACCCTGAACCCCACAAACATGGTCTACTCAGGACATACTGTCACCCTGAACCCCACAAACATGGTCTACTCAGGACATACTGTCACCCTGAACCCCACAAACATGGTCTACTCAGGACATACTGTCACCCTGAACCCCACAAACATGGTCTACTCAGGACATACTGTCACCCTGAACCCCACAAACATGGTCTACTCAGGACATACTGTCACCCTGAACCCCACAAACATGGTCTACTCAGGACATACTGTCACCCTGAACCCCACAAACATGGTCTACTCAGGACATACTGTCACCCTGAACCCCACAATGTTGGTCTACTCAGGACATACTGTCACCCTGAACCCCACAAACATGGTCTACTCTTAGGATGTTACATACTGGCATCACCTGTCACTGAACCCTGGAAACATGGTCTACTCAGGACAGACTGTCACCCTTAACCCCTGGAAACATGGTCTACTCAGGACCACAGGTATCACCCTGACACCCTGGATAAACATGGTCTACTCAGGACATGTTGTGTCACCTGAACCCCAGTTAAACATGGAGTTCAGGTCTGCAATTTGAGAACAGAAAGATGAATAGTGTTGACATTGGTCACCCTGAAACAAAGTTCATAGAATTACATTTTCAATAAGGTTTCTTCATGAAGTGTTTCAACAAACGTTTCCCAGCATCAACAAAACCAATATTGACACTTCTGACCCACTATGGCGACACTGCTTGGCAAGTTATTTCAGCAACACAATCTAGGTCACTGCAGCATTTAATGAACACATCCTAAAACAAAATGTCAGTGAAATGTCAGCTCAAAATGTCAAATCAGCTGAGCTGTGCAAGAAAATACAACAAACCTTAAAATGATGTAGATATTCCTGAGTGTTGACTTGAAAGATATTTATTTGTCTGTCCGCTGAACGATACACTTGGTACAGTAAAGGCTGTAGATCAAGCAGCTTTACATCTGACAAGTAAGGTCTAACAGAAGGGAAGACGTTAACAACATATACAGAAATATCTCTGAAGCAGCTAGCATGCTTACAAAACAGACGAGCAAAGGGACATAACTCTCTTATCAGACACCTGGTCTGTGGGCATTCAAGCCCAAATTCATTGCCCATAGCTTCAGATAGATCGGAATATGAATCTGTTAGTAACCATTCACCTGTCATAAAGGGGACTTGTGATGACATCATCCATCTACACAGGTTAGATATCGTAACAGGGTTGAAAGTTTGGAAGGAACACCCATAATTAAACCTTCCTTTGGCCGTAGAAGTCAGTTCAGGTACAGCAGCTTCACGCTCATCGTGTGGAAGTATCCAAGTGAGGAATCCTGATTGCAGTTCAGTGCAGAACAGTGTCCAAGATGGCTGACTGATCCGACACTAAACTGACCGATATTTCACCACATATCAAGAAACTATTCTTTCAAAACAAACACTCAGAATACGGCTGGTTTTTGTTTTTAGATGATTACAGTTGAACTCAGCAATGTTTGAGCAATGATCTACACAATTAGGATGAGATAACATGATTCATGTGTAGCAGGGAGTCATCCCACAGATGACATCCTTACCTTGTCAGCTTGTCAGCACGGGACTCGGAAATTTTATGGCCGCTACGTTGGGCGCCAATGTAGAGGCCATAAAATTCCCGAGTCCTGTGCAGGGATTCAAACCACGAACCTTCTATTCCGAAGTCGGACGCCTTGTCCACATGACCAAAGAGGTTAACTCCGTCAGCAAGCTGACAAAGTAGAATGTCACCTGTGGGATGACTCCACACCCTGCTACACATTCAAATCACCAGCACACAATCACACAATCTTGCAAGTCACCTCTTATGACAAAGATGGGTTGCTGAAGACCAGTTTTAACCCAAATCTTCGCCGGTCCTACGGATGCTACAGGGTTGCACACACCATGATAAACAGGTCAGAAATACTTGACTGCAAATGAGTTGAGTGAAGCAGTTGTCAGGAAATCACCAGCTGACAGCCAGTCCTAGATACATGTTTGTGTGTTCACCAGGACGTCCTCTAAATACATCCCTGGCTGGCTGTACTATTAACTCAATACACTGGTTATATAAAAACTGAAAGAGTTCAAGAAGATACTGTAGGGCAAACAGAACCTCACAATCGGTCTTCTGCTATCACACATATGAATACTCTCAGAAGTTTAGCAATTTGTGTTGATGCATCTGATCAGAAGAGACAACCTGAGGTTTAAAACACATCAGCTGCACTTGTGAGCTTCTGTACATGTGGGGCACCCAGCTCAGCTCTCTCAGTGACCCTGGTACTTTGGGGGACGTTTCTCTTTAAAAGCTGTCAGACCCTCAATTCTGTCTTTTGTTGGAATAACCTACAAACATCAAAATATTATTATCACTGAAAGTTGTCTATTTTCCCTGACACTATTGAATCAAACAACCAGGTTATAACGATTCTTCATCAATTAATTTGAGTACTAGCCATTAATCAAGATGATTTGAGTGATCCAACTTTCTCATGGTCAGAGGTACAGACAAGCTCCGTTTCTGCATGAATTATGAAGATATTTGTGAAAACTCAATTTCCATTAAGTCTATTCCTATTTTTGTAAATACACAATAAATTTGATCTTAATGCGTATACACAAAAATAGATAAAATAACTGAGGTATATTGAAAAGTTCTATTTCAGCACATGAACTTGGCAACTTGCAGCGTTTCTTATCATTTCTCAAATTAAACATCTAATAGAAATAACAAACACATAAACCATGATTAATACTTCATTATACTTTTACAATTAATGGAAAATGGCAAAAGACCCAATTGAGTTTGAGTGATGTGGTTACAATTTATTTGGTTACTCAAAGGAAAATCTGGCTACACAATTGAGATGAACACAAGCGAGTACATAACTCAATGACCCAAAAGGTTATGTGTAGCTCTGTATGGTTGAGTGGAGACAAAGTGGGACTGGCTGATTTTATTTCCGTCCAACTACCAACAGTCATTGAGCTGAATGTGTTCTACTTACCTGGGCATAATACGCTTCCTCAAACTTCAGACCTGACTCTAACTCCACCTGTGGGCAAAGAAAAATTCACTTTGACTACCTTGAATAAACAGGAGCAAGCTAGTACCATCCATCACAAACAACAGCTCACATAACTACCCTTAACAGTGAGTGAGTGAGATTTGGGCTTCACACATTGCACCCAGTAGGGGAATCAAACCCAGGTGTTCGGCGTGACAAGCGAACACTTTAACCACTAGGATACCAAACTACCCACTACCCTTACTATACGACAGCTTGCCAGGAACACCCTTAGTTAACAACAGCTTATCATGATTACTCCGAATAAACAACAGCTCACAATGACTACTCTCAACAATCTTACGAGAAATAACAAGCGCATGTAGGAACCGTACAATAAGTCTACAAGTCTGGAAAGAAACACACCCTTCACAAAGTGACCCATGGGTTTATTCATCACCATTTCCTATACATGCATCACAAATGTTAGTGTATCGAAATGCGGAGTGACTCCCTTCGAGGAACACATGAGTAGTGGTGACAGTTTACCTCTAAACCCCTGTTGATTGCCTGTTTTGCCATCCTCAGTGCAATAGGGCCCTGCAAGGAAAACAGAAGAATAAAAAATGACAAAAACAACAACAATATTACTACAGCTACTGAAAGCCACAGTACATCAAAAGTTTCCTTTCAACTAAACAGGGGGTGCTTGTATTGCTGTCAACATGGTGGCCGACAGGATACATTCACAGCTGATGTCCTCCACGCTGTACTGAACATGTATAAAGGTGACAACAGTTCTTGGGAGAAATTATGGCATGGTACTTTAGTGAGAAGTCAACAGACTATACGCTAAAGAACTATAAAGATATGCACTTAAACTAGGTGAACACTATGCCAATTACAAGATCATAAGAATGATGTACATCTTCAATAAAATGCATCCACTTCTCAGTGTTGACACTCAGAGACAATGGTCGAAACCCCACATGGCACTATAACCGTACGTTGTATAACCCCACATGGCACTATAACCGTACGTTGTATAACCACACATGGCACTATAACCGTACGTTTTATAACCCCACATGGCACTATAACCGTACGTTGTATAACCCCACATGGCACTATAGCCGTACGTTGTATAACCCCACATGGCACTTTAACTGTACGTTGTATAACCCCACATGGCACTATGCACTATAACCCTACATGGCGTTGTATAACCCCACATGGCGCACTATAACCGCGATCGTTGTATAACCCCACATGGCACTATAACCGTGCGTTGTATAACCCCATCGCACTACGTATAACCCCACATGGCACTATAACCGTACGCTGTATAACCCCACATGGCACTATAACCGTCGACGCTGCATAACAACACATGGCACTATAACCGCACCTTGCACGCTGTATAACCCCACATGGCACTATAACCGTGACGCTGTATAACCCCACATGGCACTATAACCGTGATTCGTTGTATAACCCCACATGGCACTATAACCGTGACGCTTGTATAACCCCACATGGCACTATAACCGACGCGTTGTATAACCCCACATGGCACTATAACCGTCGTTGTATAACCCCACATGGCACTATAACCGTACGCTGTATAACCCCACATGGCACTATAACCGTGACGCTTATAACCCCACATGGCACTATAACCGTGACGTTGTATAACCCCACATGGCACTATAACCGTGACGCTGTATAACCCCACATGGCACTATAACCGTGCGCTTGTATAACCCCATGGCACTGCATAACGTACGTTGTATAACCCCACATGGCATGGCACTATAACCGTGGCACGCTGCATAACCCCACATGGCACTATAACCGTGACGCTTCCTTGTATAACCCCACACATGGCACTATAAACCGTGCGTTGTATAACCCCACATGGCACTATAACCGCATCGTTGTATAACCCCAACATGGCACTATAACCGCATCGTTGTATAACCCCACATGGCACTATAACCGTACGTTGTATAACCCCACATGGCACTATAACCGTACGTTGTATAACCCCACATGGCACTATAACCGTACGTTGTATAACCCCACATGGCACTATAACCGTACGTTGTATAACCCCACATGGCACTATAACCGTACGTTGTATAACCCCCACATGGCACTATAACCGTACGTTGTATAACCCCACATGGCACTATAACCGTACGTTGTATAACCCCACATGGCACTATAACCGTACGTTGTATAACCCCACATGGCACTATAACCGTACGTTGTATAACCCCACATGGCACTATAACCGTACGCTGTATAACCCCACATGGCACTATAACCGCGCACGCTTGTATAACCCACATGGCACTATAACCGTGTATAACCCCACATGGCACTATAACCGTGATTGCATAACCCCACATGGCACTATAACTATAACCCCACATGGCACTATAACCGTGTATAACCCCACATGGCACTATAACCGTACGCTGTATAACCCCACATGGCACTATAACCGCGTGACGCTGTATAACCCCCACATGGCACTATAACCGTACGTTGTATAACCCCACATGGCACTATAACCGTACGTTGTATAACCCCACATGGCACTATAACCGTAAGTTGTATAACCCCACATGGCACTATAACCGTGCTGCATAACCCCACATGGCACTATAACCGTACGTTGCATAACCCCACATGGCACTATAACCGTACCTTGTATAACCCCACATGGCCCTATAACCGTAAATTGTATAACCCCACATGGCACTATAACCGTACGTTGTATAACCCCACATGGCACTATAACCATACGTTGTATAACCCCATATGGCACTATAACCGTACGTTGTATAACCCCACATGGCACTATAACCGTGCATTGCATAACCCCACATGGCACTATAACCGTACGTTGTATAACCCCACATGGCACTATAACCGTACCTTGTATAACCCCACATGGCACTATAACCGTAAATTGTATAACCCCACATGGCACTATAACCGTACGTTGTATAACCCCACATGGCACTATAACCGTACGTTGTATAACCCCACATGGCACTATAACCGTACGTTGTATAACCCCACATGGCACTATAACCGTATGTTGTATAACCCCACATGGCACTATAACCGTATGTTGTATAACCCCACATGGCACTATAACTGTATGTTGTATAACCCCACATGGCACTATAACCGTACGTTGTATAACCCCACATGGCACTATAACCGTATGTTGTATAACCCCACATGGCACTATAACCGTATGTTGTATAACCCCACATGGCACTATAACTGTACGTTGTATAACCCCACATGGCACTATAACCGTATGTTGTATAACCCCACATGGCACTATAACCGTACGTTGTATAACCCCACATGGCACTATAACCGTACGTTGTATAACCCCACATGGCACTATAACTGTACGTTGTATAACCCCACATGGCACTATAACCGTACGTTGTATAACCCCACATGGCACTATAACCGTACATTGTATAACCCCACATGGCACTATAACCGTACGTTGCATAACTCCACATGGCACTATAACCGTACGTTGTATAACCCCACATGGCACTATAACCGTATGTTGTATAACCCCACATGGCACTATAACCGTATGTTGTATAACCCCACATGGCACTATAACCGTACGTGGCCAATCACTGCAACATACCTGAGGCAGTATTTCTTCCGCAAGTGTCAATGATCTCAGATAGGCTGCATCACCAGCCTCATTCTGATCCACACAATGGTTGACCAGTCCAATCTGTGCAGCCTGCTGACCATCCAATACACGTCCGGTGTAAATCAACTCCTTCGCCAGTGCCGGACCAAGCACCCTTGGCAGCCGTTGGGTTCCTCCTGTGTGGGGAGAAGGTTGGTCAGTCACACCACACATAGAGAAACCTGACGTTCATATGGGGAGAAGGTTGGTCAGTCACACCACACGTAGAGAAACCTGGGGTTCATACTATGTAGGGAGAAGGTTGGTCAGTCACAACACATGTAGAGAAACCTGACGTTCATAGTATGTGGGGAGAAGGTTGGTCAGTCACACCACACGTAGAGAAACCTGGGGTTCATACTATGTAGGGAGAAGGTTGGTCAGTCACAACACACGTAGAGAAACCTGACGTTCATAGTATGTGGGGAGAAGGTTGGTCAGTCACACCACACGTAGAGAAACCTGGGGTTCATAGTATGTGGGGAGAAGGTTGGTCAGTCACACCACACGTAGAGAAACCTGGGGTTCATAGTATGTAGGGAGAAGGTTGGTCAGTCACACCACACGTAGAGAAACCTGGGGTTCATACTATGTAGGGAGAAGGTTGGTCAGTCACAACACACATACAGAAACCTGACGTTCATATGGGGAGAAGGTTGGTCAGTCACACCACACTGCGAGAGAAACCTGGGGTTCATAGTATGTGGGGAGAAGGTTGGTCAGTCACACCACACGTAGAGAAACCTGGGGTTCATACTATGTAGGGAGAAGGTTGGTCAGTCACACCACACATACAGAAACCTGGGGTTCATACTATGTAGGGAGAAGGTTGGTCAGTCACAACACACATACAGAAACCTGACGTTCATATGGGGAGAAGGTTGGTCAGTCACACCACACGTAGAGAAACCTGGGGTTCATAGTATGTGGGGAGAAGGTTGGTCAGTCACACCACACGTAGAGAAACCTGGGGTTCATAGAATGTAGGGAGAAGGTTGGTCAGTCACACCACACGTAGAGAAACCTGGGGTTCATACTATGTAGGGAGAAGGTTGGTCAGTCACAACACACATACAGAAACCTGACGTTCATATGGGGAGAAGGTTGGTCAGTCACACCACACGTAGAGAAACCTGGGGTTCATAGTATGTGGGGAGAAGGTTGGTCAGTCACACCACACGTAGAGAAACCTGGGGTTCATAGTATGTAGGGAGAAGGTTGGTCAGTCACACCACACGTAGAGAAACCTGGGGTTCATACTATGTAGGGAGAAGGTTGGTCAGTCACACCACACATAGAGAAACCTGGGTTTCATAGTATGTGGGGAGAAGGTTGGTCAGTCACACCACACGTAGAGAAACCTGGGGTTCATACTATGTAGGGAGAGAGTTGGTCAGTCACACCACACGTAGAGAAACCTGGGGTTCATACTATGTAGGGAGAAGGTTGGTCAGTCACACCACACGTAGAGAAACCTGGGGTTCATAGTATGTGGGGAGAAGGTTGGTCAGTCACACCACACGTAGAGAAACCTGGGGTTCATAGTATGTAGGGAGAAGGTTGGTCAGTCACACCACACGTAGAGAAACCTGGGGTTCATACTATGTAGGGAGAAGGTTGGTCAGTCACACCACACATAGAGAAACCTGGGTTTCATAGTATGTGGGGAGAAGGTTGGTCAGTCACACCACACGTAGAGAAACCTGGGGTTCATACTATGTAGGGAGAGAGTTGGTCAGTCACACCACACGTAGAGAAACCTGGGGTTCATAGTATGTGGGGAGAAGGTTGGTCAGTCACACCACACATAGAGAAACCTGGGGTTCATACTATGTGTGGAGTGGGTTGGTCAGTCACACCACACATAGAGAAACCTGGGGTTCATAGTATGTGGGGAGAGAGTTGGTCAGTCACACCACACGATTTAGAGAAACCTGGGGTTCATACTATGTGTGGAGAGGGTTGGTCAGTCAAATAGCTGTTACACCACACATAGAGAAACCTGGGGTTCATATGGGGAGAGGGTTTGTCAGTCAAACAGCTGTCACAACTCACATAGAGAAACATGGGGTTCATACTATGTGGGGAGAGAGTTGGTCAGTCAAACAGCTGTCACACCAAATTTACAGAAACCTAGGGTTGATACTATGTGGGGAGAGAGTTGGTCAGTCAAACAGCTGTCACACCAAATTTACAGAAACCTAGGGTTGATACTATGTGGGGAGAGAGTTGGTCAGTCAAACAGCTGTCACACCAAATTTACAGAAACCTAGGGTTGATACTATGTGTGGGGAGAGAGTTGGTCAGTCAAACAGCTGTCACACCAAATTTACAGAAACCTAGGGTTGATACTATGTGGGGAGAGAGTTGGTCAGTCAAACAGCTGTCACACCAAATTTACAGAAACCTAGGGTTGATACTATGTGGGGAGAGAGTTGGTCAGTCAAAGGGTTGAGCTGTCACACAAACAGCTGTCACACCAAATTTACAGAAACCTAGGGTTGATACTATGTGGGGAGAGAGTTTGTCAGTCAAACAGCTGTCACAACTCACATAGAGAAACATGGGGTTCATACTATGTGGGGAGAGAGTTGGTCAGTCAAACAGCTGTCACACCAAATTTACAGAAACCTAGGGTTGATACTATGTGGGGAGATAGTGTAATATCATCAGCAGCATATCCTATTTGGCTTATGTAGTGTGACATGCCCTGTGTGACTGACTGACTGAGTTTGCTTTTACGCTGCTTTTAGCAATATTCCAGCAACATCACGGCGGGGGACACCAGAAATGGGCTTCACACATTGTACCCATGTGGGGATTCAAACCCGGGTATTCGCCGTGACGAGCCAACGCTTTAACCATTAGGCTAATCCACCGCCCCCCTGTGTGACTGATCCATGGTGCCATACCCTATGTGGCTTATCCCGTGACACACTCAGTGTGGGTCAACATACTGACCTGCACCAGGAATGATAGCCAGCTTTGTCTCCACCAGACCCATCTTGGCTGAAGTTGCTGGAAGCAGACAACAGGAGACATGAGCTCACACCGTAGCCTTCCTAACCTTGAACTATGTCTTCTGTATGAACTATGTAGACTGTATTCAGGGTCCTGGTCTACGTCAATCTCATATGTCTAATTATCACCTCCCCTACCACTTCCACTTTTCGTTTCCTGAGACACCGGGTTGTGATTAAAATGTTCTTGTCTTTACAATACAAATGCTGACAGAATTGATTCAAAGAACCTTTCAAATGTTCAGAATGACCCCTTAAGCATACAAACTTTAAAATACATTGCTGACATTAAAGATCCCCTCTGTGATGCCTAGGCCCCCCAACTCCAATCCCCAGTTCCAGGTACGGAGGTCTAACGCAAAGGTCATGGCCTTGACTATTTCATTGTTCCCCTTCCCAATATCCAAGTTCATCCTAATGTTAGCCACCTACACGCAACACGAAGGTCACAGCCCAAGGCCATCTCCAGACCTCCGCCCAATGCAGCTCCATCTATGGCTGCAATGACCGGGACGGGAAAGTTGTGAATATCATTGACTGTGGAACGCAGCTTCTGCACAAAGGCTGCCACCTGTGCATTGGTCATCTGGGCACGCTCCTTCAAGTCAGCACCTACAACACAGCAGGGAGATGAGTCTGTCTGTGCTGGTGCTGATGTTGTCTGTCTTTATTTACTTCAAGAATGTCAACCAAACTGATATTTCAAAATACTATTCAAACTATATCTTTCATCCTCTTATTTGTGGGTTTCGCTTAAAGATACTAAACCGGTACTGCATGGATCTTGGGCATTATAATAAATCATGTGTGAGATGCCACACTGTAACCACCTGATTGTGTGCACTCGCACAGCTCACACAAGCAGGGCGTACTCGGACAACAAGTAGGGGATACTGGGACAACAAGCAGGGCGTACTGGGACAACAAGCAGGGCGTACTGGGACAACAAGCAGGGGGTACTGGGACAACAAGCAGGGGGTACTGGGGCAACAAGCAGGGGGTACTGGGACAACAAGCAGGGGGTACTGGGACAACAAGCAGGGCGTACTGGGACAACAAGCAGGGGATACCGGCACAACAAGTAGGGGATACTGGGACAACAAGCAGGGCGTACTGGGACAACAAGCAGGGGATACTGGGACAACAAGTAGGGGATACTGGGACAACAAGTAGGGGATACTGGGACAACAAGCAGGGGGTACTGGGACAACAAGCAGGGCGTACTGGGACAACAAGCAGGGGATACTGGGACAACAAGCAGGGGGTACTGGGACAACAAGCAAGGGGTACTGGGACAACAAGCAGGGCGTACTGGGACAACAAGCAGGGCGTACTGGGACAACGAGCAGGGGGTACTGGGACAACAAGAAGGGCGTGCTGGGACAACAAGCAGGGGGTACTGGGACAACAAGTAGGGGATACTGGGACAACAAGCAGGGGGTACTGGGACAACAAGCAGGGCGTACTGGGACAACAAGCAGGGGATACTGGGATAACAAGCAGGGGGTACTGGGACAACAAGCAAGGGGTACTGGGACAACAAGCAGGGCGTACTGGGACAACAAGTAGGGGATACTGGGACAACAAGCAGGGGATACTGGGACAACAAGCAGGGGTACTGGGACAACAAGCAGGGGAGTACTGGGACAACAAGAAGGGCGTACTGGGACAACAAGCAGGGGGTACTGGGACAACAAGCAGGGGATACAGGGACAACAAGTAGGGGATACTGGGACAACAAGTAGGGGATACTGGGACAACAAGCAGGGGATACTGGGACAACAAGCAGGGGATACTGGGACAACAAGCAAGGGGTACTGGGACAACAAGCAGGGCGTACTGGGACAACAAGCAGGGGATACTGGGACAACAAGCAGGGGTACTGGGACAACAAGCAGGGGTACTGGGACAACAAGCAGGGGATACTGGGACAACAAGCAGGGGATACTGGGACAACAAGCAGGGTATACAGGGTCAACAAGCAGGGGATACTGGGACAAGCAGGGCGTACTGGGACAACAAGCAGGGCGTACTGGGACAACAAGCAGGGCATACTGGGACAACAAGCAGAGCGTACTGGGACAACAAGCAGGGGATACTGGGACAACAAGCAGGGGGTACTGGGACAACAAGCAGGGGATACTGGGACAACAAGCAGGGGGTACTGGGGACAACAAGCAGGGCATACTGGGACAACAAGCAGGGCGTACTGGGACAACAAGCAGGGGATACTGGGACAACAAGCAGGGGGTACTGGGACAACAAGCAGGGTGTACTGGGACAACAGAGTACTTTAACAACAGAAGAGCTGCAACCAGCATGTATAATGTCAGAACAGGGCCTTGATTTTCGAAGCTCACTTAGCGCTAAGATAGTCATAAGTCTCATACATAAACATTAACTTACGACTATCTTAGCGATAAGAGAGCTTCGAAAATCTAGGCCCTGGAGTCTACAAAGTATATGTTTTATCTCTAAATGTTAGTTTTTCCGGAAAGAGTTCCTTACATAGCCCCCGGCTATTTTATTAAGGTACTTTTCATTACTTGTATATCTTTTCTTTGTCAAAAACATTAGGTGGGCAGTACGTAAGGAACTCTTAACCGTTTTTCCTCCTTGTCTAAGCAATGCATTGCGTATTATTCAGTGAAACTCAGCAACCATGCAAGAAACAGACAACCAGTACCGGTCTACCTGAGATACTCACCGGCACAGAATACTCCAGGCACCTCACTACGGATAATCAGTGCTCTGATACTGGTGTCAAATTTCACCTCCTCCAAACCATCGATCATCTGGAAACAGGGAGCGAGTTCGATTTTTGTTTCTCTTATAATATAGTTATTGCAGTTGAATGTCGATGGAAAGTCTGTGTGTGAGAGGAAAGTCTATGTGTGCTGGAGGAAAGCCTATGTGTGCTGGAGGAAAGCCTGTGTGTGCTGAGGAAAGTCTGTGTGTGAGAGGAAAGTCTATGTGTGCTGAGAAAAGCCTGTGTGTGAGAGGATCGTATATGTGTGCTGGAGGAAAGCCTGTGTGTGAGAGGATCGTCTATGTGTGCTGAGGAAAGCCTGTGTGTGAGAGGATCGTCTATGTGTGCTGAGGAAAGCCTGTGTGTGAGAGGTAAGTATATGTGTGCTGAGGAAACCTGTGTGTGGGAGGTAAGTCCTGTGGGTGCTGGAGGAAAGCCTGTGTGTGGGAGGTAAGTCTATGTGTGCTGAGGAAACCTGTGTGTGGGAGGTAAGTCTATGTGGGTGCTGAAGAAAGCCTGTGTGTGGGAGGTAAGTCTATGTGTGCTGGAGGAAAGCCTGTGTGTGAGAGGTAAGTCTATGTGTGCTGGAGGAAAGCCTGTGTGTGAGAGGTAAGTCTATGTGTGCTGGAGGAAAGCCTGTGTGTGAGAGGTAAGTCTATGTGTGCTGGAGGAAAGCCTGTGTGTGAGAGGTAAGTCTATGTGTGCTGGAGGAAAGCCTGTGTGTGAGGGTAAGTCTATGTGTGCTGGAGGAAAGCCTGTGTGTGAGAGGTAAGTAAGTGTGCTGGATGTGTGCTGGAGGAAAGCCTGTGTGTGAGAGGTAAGTCTATGTGTGCTGGAGGAAAGCCTGTGTGTGAGAAGTAAGTCTATGTGTGCTGGAGGAAAGCCTGTGTGTGAGAGGTAAGTCTATGTGTGCTGGAGGAAAGCCTGTGTGCTGGAGGAAAGCCTGTGTGCTGGAGGAAGCCTTTGTGTGAGAGGATCGTCTATGTGTGCTGGAGGAAAGCCTGTGGATGATTGAGGAAAGCCTGTGTGGGGGTGAAAGTTAACATATTTAACATAATGACTGTAGAATGTTGTCTGTGAGCAGACCAGATAACATCCTTCCTTAACTTCACATGTGACATCCTTGTACTCTCTGTGTCCTACTTCCCTTTCATTCATTGCTCAATCACCTCTCCCCATAACACCCATCACTGGAATGATTTTTCTCTAAATCATAGAAAGAAAATCATGAATTGTCGTAACTTGCTAAAGGCTATGTGAATAGTTCTGTAGTACTACCGGGTACATATAATACTGACTTCTTGGCCTTTTGGCCTCAACAACTCTGATATACATACTGATAGATACTTTTGTCAGTTTAAAAGATATGTTATTCCCACACTGCAAACAAATCGAAGTCACAATATGGTGAGACAACTGATACAGTGGCAGACCTCGGGATGTTGCTTAGATCTCAGTCTTCTTCTGGTTTCTGAGAAGTTTTCATATGAGTTAGGTTTAGATTTATTTCAATAACTTTTGTAGAAAACATTTTTTATTAATATTTCTGGCATAAATAAATCTGAATTCTATTTGTGTTGCCGCACATAACATTTAAGATTTCTAGATCCTGCTGTTTTATTAACATAAAAAATATAATACCACTACACCACTACTTCGTCACTTACATGGAAACATTAAATAGACATTCCATGAGCTACTGTCAAAACAGAGACAACATCATCTTGACAGCCACAACTTTGTAAACGCTGAATTGATGGACTCAATTTTCAGATCAGACATTCATCAGTTTTCATCTTTAATACCACCAAGTCGTTGATGCCGACATTTTTGTGGTACGACAAGTCAACAATAACACTCATATTACACAGGCATCTAATCTATCATTTGAGCTGGAACCAGTTGTCATGGAAACATCCCCAGTCTGTAATAGGGAGGGTGTACATCAGTGTATAAATGACATCACGACTCAGTGGAACTGCTTCATACAGGCCACAGACAGACAATCTGAACAGGCCAAACACAGGTGTTTACAAGAGCGGGGTACTTCACATGTTATCAGCTGTCTTTTTACACATTCATCACACCCGTCTACCTGGAATACTGTTCTGCCATGTTCAATGGACTGGATGCTAGTGCTGGTCCGATTAATTGAAATAATCAAAGATTGGTCGCAATGACTAAATAACAAAGTAATCGATCATGTTTTCTTATAATCGAACACAAACAATTTTGGAACACTTGCTTGCATTAACAACATTTTTCACAAGGTTGGTTTTGTTTGATATATTTCATAAGCACTACAGGCTCGTTCCAAGTCATAATTGAATTTATCTTAAATACTCCAGGAAATTTATGTTCCTATCATACTAGACATCCTTTAAAGATGTGAAATTTGAAAAAAGAACGAAAGGATTTTTTTATAAATGACGCTAACCAATTATTTTCGATGATTGATTGGCTGTAATGAACCAATCATCAATTATCAGAAATAAACCAATTCCCAATACCATGGATGCAAGCATTGGTAGCAGGATTGTCTGAATCCATGATCAGGGCACTATGACTGTAATATGGGTAAATGAAAATGGTCATCATCTTACCATCTGAATGATGTTTCTCCCCATGGAATTCCTGGCTTTGAAGCGACGCATGGAAAACACGACGATTCCTGGAACAATGATGAATATGTATTACAAGACAACATATTGATACAGACGTAGAACTGTCAGGGTGAACACTACTTAAAACAGTGTTTCAGTTGTACCACAAAGTCCAATTTGAGATGGCAGACTGAAGCCAATTAAGTAAGTTGCCTACGTTTACTGCTTTCGTAAATCCCAAGTTGTCAATTGGGATAGGTAATGGAGGCTCAAAGTGTATCACAATATATTGCACCACATTGGGATACAGATGACAATACATAATTCCAGATTTTGAATTTAGAAGTAATGTAAAACATCAAGCCATGAACTGAAGTTCATAAACACAACAAAACAAGAATGTTGGTGTTTGAGACCTGGATGTTGCTGACAGAAATGTGCAGGAATGCACAAGGACACAAGGGAGGTAACTGAGAATTAACTTCTAATCTTTGCAGACTTGCATTTTGGAATTACAGTGTTTGGCAAGTGTTCAATGGCCAAACAATGCATACTCTTTATGAAAGGGAGGTTACTCAAATTCAGGACCTTGATGTGAAATCATGCATATGGTACTTTAACTATAATTGGCGACACCAACGACACAAAGTTAGCAACAAAATAACACAACTTTGGAGGAACAGACCAAAGTCTGAAGTATTGTTTTCCCGTAGTCTTGATACCTGATGTTTTCAAATCATATCCTCACATGCAACTGGACACGATGAAATATCGTTGTACCTTTGCGATTGCCCTCCAGGTAGCTAATACATAATTCATCGTTGTCTTGGGGAGATAACTCATCAGATTTTGAATTTTCCATATTCCCCTGAGACATCAGCTATGGTCCTGCTTCTACTAAAATCACCAGTCAGGATGTTGGGCACAACATGGAGCCGAATGACATCAGCTATGGTCCTGCTTCTACTAAAATCACCAGTCAGGATGTTGGGCACAACATGGAGCCGAATGACATCAGCTATGGTCCTGCTTCTACTAAAATCACCAGTCAGGATGTTGGGCACAACATGGAGCCGAATGACATCAGCTATGGTCCTGCTTCTACTAAAATCACCAGTCAGGATGTTGGGCACAACATGGAGCCGAATGACATCAGCTATGGTCCTGCTTCTACTAAAATCACCAGTCAGGATGTTGGGCACAACATGGAGCCGAATGACAATCCAAGGAGGACATGATGTCATTTGTTTCACTTTCACTACATCAGAATTTTCCAAGCACTTACACTTCCCACTGTTACTGATGTTCCCAACATTTCTATTGTGGTAATCAATACATGTACAACTAGAAAAAGAGTTTCCAAAGCATTGAATGTTTTTATAATGTCTAGCCTATATCCGTGTCAGTGTACATAATGTCTAGCCTATATCCGTGTCAGTGTACATAATGTCGAGCCTATATCTGTGTCAGTGTACATAATGTCTAGCCTATATCCGTGTCAGTGTACATAATGTCTAGCCTATATCCGTGTCAGTGTACATAATGTCTAGCCTATATCCGTGTCAGTGTACATAATGTCTAGCCTATATCCGTGTCAGTGTACATAATGTCTAGCCTATATCTGTGTCAGTGTACATAATGTCTAGCCTATATCCGTGTCAGTGTACATAATGTCTAGCCTATATCCGTGTCAGTGTACATAATGTCTAGCCTATATCTGTGTCAGTGTACATAATGTCTAGCCTATATCCGTGTCAGTGTACATAATGTCTAGCCTATATCCGTGTCAGTGTACATAATGTCTAGCCTATATCCGTGTCAGTGTACATAATGTCTAGCCTATATCCGTGTCAGTGTACATAATGTCTAGCCTATATCCGTGTCAGTGTACATAATGTCTAGCCTATATCCGTGTCAGCATACATAATGTCTAGCCTATATCCGTGTCAGTGTACATAATGTCTAGCCTATATCCGTGTCAGTGTACATAATGTCTAGCCTATATCCGTGTCAGTGTACATAATGTCTAGCCTATATCCGTGTCAGTGTACATAATGTCTAGCCTATATCCGTGTCAGTGTACATAATGTCTAGCCTATATCCGTGTCAGTGTACATAATGTCTAGCCTATATCCGTGTCAGTGTACATAATGTCTAGCCTATATCCGTGTCAGTGTACATAATGTCTAGCCTATATCCGTGTCAGCATTACATAATGTCTAGCCTATATCCGTGTCAGTGTACATAATGTCTAGCCTATATCCGTGTCAGTGTACATATGTCTAGCCTATATCCGTGTCAGCATACATATATCTAGCCTATATCCGTGTCAGTGTACATAATGTCTAGCCTATATCCGTGTCAGTGTACATAATGTCTAGCCTATATCCGTGTCAGTGTACATAATGTCTAGCCTATATCCGTGTCAGTGTACATAATGTCTAGCCTATATCCGTGTCAGTGTACATAATGTCTAGCCTATATCTATATCCGTGTCAGTGTACATAATGTCTAGCCTATATCCGTGTCGCGTACATAATGTCTAGCCTATATCCGTGTCAGTGTACATAATGTCTAGCCTATATCCGTGTCAGTGTACATAATGTCTAGCCTATATCCGTGTCAGTGTACATAATGTCTAGCCTATATCCGTGTCAGTGTACATAATGTCTAGCCTATATCCGTGTCAGTGTACATAATGTCTAGCCTATATCCGTGTCAGTGTACATAATGTCTAGCCTATATCCGTGTCAGTGTACATAATGTCTAGCCTATATCCGTGTCAGTGTACATAATGTCTAGCCTATATCCGTGTCAGTGTACATAATGTCTAGCCTATATCCGTGTCAGTGTACATAATGTCTAGCCTATATCCGTGTCAGTGTACATAATGTCTAGCCTATATCCGTGTCAGTGTACATAATGTCTAGCCTATATCCGTGTCAGTGTACATAATGTCTAGCCTATATCCGTGTCAGTGTACATAATGTCTAGCCTATATCCGTGTCAGTGTACATAATGTCTAGCCTATATCCGTGTCAGTGTACATAATGTCTAGCCTATATCCGTGTCAGTGTACATAATGTCTAGCCTATATCCGTGTCAGTGTACATAATGTCTAGCCTATATCCGTGTCAGTGTACATAATGTCTAGCCTATATCCGTGTCAGTGTACATAATGTCTAGCCTATATCCGTGTCAGCGTACATAATGTCTAGCCTATATCCGTGTCAGTGTACATAATGTCTAGCCTATATCCGTGTCAGCATACATAATGTCTAGCCTATATCCGTGTCAGTGTACATAATGTCTAGCCTATATCCGTGTCAGTGTACATAATGTCTAGCCTATATCCGTGTCAGTGTACATAATGTCTAGCCTATATCCGTGTCAGTGTACATAATGTCTAGCCTATATCCGTGTCAGTGTATATAATGTCTAGCCTATATCCGTGTCAGTGTACATAATGTCTAGCCTATATCCGTGTCAGTGTACATAATGTCAACCTGCTGGATGCAACACATACAACATTTTCATGACTCAGAACAGTTAATGTATGACGCCTTCCTCCTTGCAGTGTGGAACAGTTAATGTATGACGCCTTCCTCCTTGCAGTGTGGAACAGTTAATGTATGACGCCTTCCTCCTTGCAGTGTGGAACAGTTAATGTATGACGCCTTCCTCCTTGCAGTGTGGAACAGTTAATGTATGACGCCTTCCTCCTTGCAGTGTGGAACAGTTAATGTATGACGCCTTCCTCCTTGCAGTGTGGGCGGGGCTTGTGTGTGAATTGAAAACTCTCACTCATGTCATAAGGTTAATTGTAGTAATTTGTGCAATAACTAAACAAACAGTCGATCACATCAACATGGTTCAAAATTGCAATACATTGACGTTTCCTCCATGTTGACACCAAGTTTTACTATTTGGTACATGGTAGTTATTAAGCTTATTATCTAAGTACCCAAGTTCCCATTTCTTACACTGATAAATGGTTGCTGATGTGGATTTATAACATGTTGATGAGTTCATATTTATCCAAATTGACTTGAATATTAGTTTTTGTGTTCACTGAAGCATGAAAGCAAAAATCTGTGTGCACACTTTGCATAAATATTTTCCCAAGATTTACAGTGTGAACACCCAGTGTTACATGTATAACTCCATAAAATATAGAAATTTTGAACTAAATATCAAAACAAGTAATTTTGCCAAAGCAGGTGTGTAATACACAATTCCAAAAATAAAATCGTGTTATCAATGTTTATGTTAGCTAGGACGAATTTTGAACTTTTGTGGAATCTCAAACACTGAAAAATCGAATATTTCCAGCAAGCCTTTGTTTACACGAAGTGCTAATTTCTTGGAAACGAGTGAATGGCCACGATGAACAGGATGTACATCATAAAGAGAGTCCATTTTATGGATGTCATTGTCAACTTAGGATAGGGATATCCAGCCAGGGGAGATAACCGAAACAGCTCCTCTCGTAAGCACAAAAACATGGTCAGAAAAATGTGTCAAAACAGGGGGGTGCTTTTACGCGCATTTGTAACGTTGCCTCTGATTGCACAAAGAATACAAATACACCAATGAAAAGACGGATAACAAAACTAGAGACACTTTTTTTCATAGTTTGACAAATGTGACGTCAAATGTTGACTTTGTGAAGGTGAAAACTTCCGAAGTGTAAAAAACATATTTATCCAAAGCGCACATGTCTATAAAAATCTCATAATGATAGACAATTATCAAGCTTCAATCTGCACTATGGATTGTATTTTTTAACAACGTGTTCATGTCGAAATAAAAATGAAAAGGACCCCACCGTCTATACCGAAGTACTTTTCCCTAGCGCATCAAGTGACAGACAGAGCCTGCCAGCTGAGATCGTGTTTGTCAGCAAGCGTGGAAATACCGCCTTTCTGAGAAATAGGTGAGTGACAACATTTTCATGCTTGCAATATGATGTATCCTGAACTAATGAACAAATATACACCATTTATTACCGCCAATCAATCCAATTATGATATATACTTGGCCTAAATAACGCAAGCACACTGGGTTGACCTATTTCTTCGTGAAATTGACATGGTTATCAAAAATGAAATACTGACAGTGAATGACAGTAAATGTGATTGGGTGTTACTGTTAGTATATACAAGTTAGCAACATTTGGCAGTTGACCATTTTTGTATTATCTCTGTTTTCAGTTGCATTCCATTTACAAAATCCCTCCACATTTTTTTTAAGTTATATAAAAATTGCCATTGTTGATGAAATAACAATAATATGTAATCAATTATTTACTGTTTAAGCCTTGGGCCATTAAATTGTCACGATCTAATTAGTGCCATACTGTTAAGAAAATATGTTAATTTTTATTTTCCTTAATTTTCAGGACCAGGGCTGACCAGCTGAAGAGAAGAAGCCAGACTACTTATGTTTTGCAAAGTGACAGAGATTTGTCGCTATTGTTTCTTCAGATTTTATTATTATCATGCAACTTGACCTGTATGCTGTTTTGTGATATATTTTAAACAGTTATACCTGCCATATATTGACAGTTTGTGATAGAGTTGAAAGCGCGGGACTGATAGCACTCTTTCAAAGAAAATGTTTCTTCATCATATGTTGTGCATTGATCTGCATTGATCTTTGCCAAAATGGATTCATATGACCCAGGATCATGAAATAACTTGCAACTGAAACTGTATTTGTTGGAAACTATTTGCTTAAGTATTTATGATCATATTCAAAAGACACCTAGACAACGGCCTCTAATATAAATATCAGATATGTTGTATAATGTTATCAATCCATCATGTATGAGATACTGGATATGATTTAAAAAGGCTTAGCTAAGATTCTACATGTTCCTTGGGCCAGGTTTGTGTTTCAACCCTGTGATATATATTTTATGTATTATGTAGGAGTTTCTAGAACCTTATTTATTCATTTCGTTGTGGTACATAATGCTGTCTGTAGAAAGGAGCAAGAGGTCCCTATTTTACTTGATTTTACTTATTTTGACTCCAGAGACTTTAGTTAACATGAAACTTGCCTTGTATGCATGTATTGTCATTTTCTAGTCATTTCTGTTCATTAATACATGTCACTAGTGGCCAGTTTGTAATATGTTTGAAACAGCAGAATTAAGGTACCAATCTGTCAGTGACAGATTTTGTCATTGAATATATTATATATGTCACTTTTTGCAGACATAGATACACATGATGCCATTTAACAATCTACAATGCATGCAAATATTTTCAAAAAGGATAGAAATATTTTAAAAATACCCTAGCAAATATATGGTTGGAAAGAAATGTGATAACGTTTTTATGGAGTGATTGTGTTTGAATGCTGATAACTTTTTTATCATATTTTTTTGGTGTACAAAACAATATGTATTTGGGTAACTTGTCCTTTCCTCTAGCTCAACATAATATTTCAGGTTAATTGTACACGTAGAACTGTAGATATTCTTCGGAATGCATTTAGATCTCATGACCTTCAAATTTCAAGGTCAAGCACATTTTTATAAATAGCTGTAACATATTCTTAATCAACTTTATTTTCACTTTTTTGGGGTAGAAAGACCTGTCTTACCATGACAATGACTATGTATACTTATTTTGCTTATGTTTTACTCGTTTTCAGACATTATTCATGAAAGCTGTGTGAAAGTTTTTAAAATGATTGATACGGTGCTACGCTTACAGGGTCTCATTTTCATATTGTATAATGTAAATATATGACTATTACCACCAAAATGGATAGGCAAGATACCAATACAGAGATAGAATACTTACACATATTTTTTTGAAGTGCAGAAATATTTTTGAAATGTTCCTAACCAAAAAAAATGGCTGAAAAAAAAAAGTCATTTTTTTTTTCTGTGGGTAGGTGTCTTGTAACTCTAATAACTTTGTAATAAAAAATTTTGGTATCATAATCAAAGTGTTTTGTTTATTGAAACTTCATTCTATCAACACACCAAATTTGGTTTAAAAATTCCTATAAATAAAAAATGACTGGTAATGCCTACTTAGGAGCACAACGTTTCGGAGTATATCATTACTCCTTCATCATCCTCATCCTCATGATAAAGAAGTTGACATCCATAAACCTCTTTCCTTGTGTGTAATATCAGTTCTAAATGCCATTCAAAGACCAGGATCATAAGGGTGTACATAGTTGACCTGTGAGCAGGTGAACCTCAAACCGTATCTAATCACAGTCTAATGTCCATACTGTTTACTGTTATGTTACATTGCAGCGCTATAAAGAAGATTATCTGCAAGCTAGTGGTGGCTTAGCCTCAGTTTACGACAATGGGGTGTAAACACGACCTTGACGAAAGAAGGCTTGTTCGATCTCCTCGTTTCTCGCCAACACGTCGTCCGACACAAACCTCACACCGCCACAGCAGAACCACCGCACCGTAGACACCAGCAGAACTATGTACCTTTCCGATCGCCATCCAAATAGTTGAGGTGGAATTCATCTTCTAAAGGTTGTGGGGCATCTGTTCTGATCTTCCTACCAGCTGTCACCCCTGCAAATCTTGTCAAGAGGGTGCCGGACTTGCGAGCATGACCCAACATCACTCTCGTCAGACTGGAGGCTGCCATCTTGATTCTGACGTTTGACCTTTGACATTAGTTGACCCACTCGCTTCTTTCCGTAATCTGCAAACATGCTTTTGCCGGAATAACACGAGTTGGTCACGAATGGAGTTGAATTTGGTGTTGAATTTTTTCAAAAAATCAACAATGGGTATATCGGTTACAATCGTACAAACACGATTTTCAAATTATATAAACAATCCATGTCATGAAGACCAAAAATTATATCCAATCTTAAATAACATTTTATTTGTCAGTAAGATGTGATGTAATATTTTATATTGGAACCACTGTCATTGGTAATGATATGTGTTCTACCTGTTATTACATCTTCACAGACTGAATGTTGCTGACTGGCAGTGGCATAAAGCAACATTTACCTATAAGTTATATCTTCATATGAGGGGTTCACACAACTCACTGACGATTTTGAAGGCATCAAATGTAACAGAATGCTTCTTATTCGCCAGTTGTCAGCGTCATGCCAGCTCCCTTGGCCTTTATGTGATATGTGGTGTGAATTCCGGCATACTGTAAAACATGGAGTGAATCCCCGGGCCTGCGCCATTTCGGGCTTTCCTCCCGCACCAGCTGACATGTTGTAACTGGAATCTCTCTCTCTCTCTCTCTCTCTCTCTCTCTCTCTCTCTCTCTCTCTCTCTCTCTCTCTCTCTCTCTCTCTCTCTCTCTCTCCCACTCACTGACAGTAACAAGAACGAGTTTAATCGTGTATTTTCCTTGATGTGACATCAGTAAATAATAAAGTGGTTTCGGCGTCTTTATTGTGATACTGGTATAACATTAGTTATAAGGTGTTTTGAAAGGGTGTACGGCCGGGACTCTTAAGACCCTTGTAAATTCCGTATTTCCTGAGCAGGTGTCTGTTGTAGCTGTGTTGGACATCGATAGATGTGTGTTGTAGCTGTGTTGTACATCGATAGGTGTGTGTTGTAGCTGTGTTGGACATCGATAGGTGTGTGTTGTAGCTGTGTTGGACATCGATAGGTGTGTGTTGTAGCTGTGTTGGACATTGATAGGTGTGTGTTGTAGCTGTGTTGGACATCGATAGGTGTGTGTTGTAGCTGTGTTGGACATTGATAGGTGTGTGTTGTAGCTGTGTTGGACATTGATAGGTGTGTGTTGTAGCTGTGTTGGACATCGATAGGTGTGTGTTGTAGCTGTGTTGGACATCGATAGGTGTGTGTTGTAGCTGTGTTGGACATTGATAGGTGTCTGTTGTAGCTGTGTTGTACATCGATAGGTGTGTGTTGTAGCTGTGTTGGACATTGATAGGTGTCTGTTGTAGCTGTGTTGGACATCGATAGGTGTGTGTTGTAGCTGTGTTGGACATCGATAGGTGTCTGTTGCAGTTGTGTTGGACATTGATAGGTGTCTGTTGTAGATGTGTTGGAAATTGATACGTGTCTCTTGTAGCTGTGTTGGACATCTATAGGTGTCTGTTGTAGTTGTGTTGTACATCGATCGGTGTTTGTTGTAGTTGTGTTGGACATCGATAGGTGTCTGTTGTAGCTGTGTTGGACATCGATAGGTGTTTGTTGTAGTTGTGTTGTACATCGATAGGTGTCTGTTGTAGCTGTGTTTGACATGGATAGGTGTCTGTTGTAGTTGTGTTGTACATCGATAGGTGTGTGTTGTAGCTGTGTTGTACATCGCCAGTGTCTGTTGTAGCTGTGTTGTACATCGATAGGTGTGTTGTGTTGTAGGTGTTGTGTTGTTCGATAGGTGTAGATGTGTTGGACATCGATAGGTGTCTGTTGTAGCTGTGTTTGACATGGATAGGTGTCTGTTGTAGTTGTGTTGTACATCGATAGGTGTGTGTTGTAGCTGTGTTGTACATCGCCAGTGTCTGTTGTAGCTGTGTTGTACATCGATAGGTGTGTTGTGTTGTACATAGATAGGTGTCTGTTGTAGTTGTGTTGTACATCGCTAGTGTCTGTTGTAGCTGTGTTGTACATCGATAGGTGTGTTGTGTTGTACATAGATAGGTGTCTGTTGTGTTGTACATCGCTAGGTGTGTGTTGTAGTTGTGTTGGACATTGATAGGTGTCTGTTGTAGATGTGTTGTACAGTCGATAGGTGTCTGTTGCAGTTGTACTGGACATTGATAGGTGTCTGTTGTAGATGTGTTGTACATCGATAGGTGTCTGTCTGTTGTAGTTGTGTTGTACATCGATAGGTGTTTGTTGTAGTTGTGTTGGACATCGATAGGTGTTTGTTGTAGCTGTGTTGTACATCGATAGGTGTCTGTTGTAGCTGTGTTGGATATGATAGGTGTCTGTTGTAGTTGTGTTGTACATCGATAGGTGTGTGTTGTAGCTGTGTTGTACATCGATAGGTGTCTCTTGTAGTTGTGTTGGACATCGCTAGTGTCTGTTGTAGCAGTGTTGTACATCGACAGGTGTGTGTTGTGTTGTACATCGCTAGTGTCTGTTGTAGCTGTGTTGGACATCGATGGGTGTCTCTTGTAGTTGTGTTGGACATGGATAGGTGTGTGTTGTAGTTGTGTTGTACATCGATAGGTATCTGTTGTAGTTGTGTTGTACATCGATAGCTGTCTCTTGTAGCTGTGTTGGACATTGATAGGTGTGTGTTGTAGTTGTGTTGGACATCGATGGGTGTCTGTTGTAGATGTGTTGTACATCGATAGGTATATGTTGTAGCTATATTGTACATCGCTAGGTGTGTGTTGTAGTTGTGTTGGACATCGCTAGGTGTCTGTCGTAGTTGTGTTGGACATCGATGGGTGTATGTTGTAGTTGTGTTGGACATCGATGGGTGTGTGTTGTAGTTGTGTTGGACATCGATGGGTGTATGTTGTAGTTGTGTTGGACATTGATAGGTGTGTGTTGTAGTTGTGTTGGACATCGATGGGTGTGTGTTGTAGTTGTGTTGGACATCGATGGGTGTATGTTGTAGTTGTGTTGTACATCGATAGCTGTCTCTTGTAGTTGTGTTGGACATGGATAGGTGTGTGTTGTAGTTGTGTTGGACATCGATGGGTGTCTGTTGTAGATGTGTTGTACATCGATAGGTATATGTTGTAGTTGTGTTGTACATCGATAGGTGTCTGTTGTAGCTATGTTGTACATCGCTAGGTGTGTGTTGTAGTTGTGTTGGACATCGATGGGTGTCTGTTGTAGTTGTGTTGGACATTGATAGGTGTGTGTTGTAGTTGTGTTGGACATCGATGGGTGTGTGTTGTAGTTGTGTTGGACATCGATGGGTGTGTGTTGTAGTTGTGTTGTACATCGATGGGTGTCTGTTGTAGATGTGTTGTACATCGATAGGTATATGTTGTAGTTGTGTTGTACATCGATAGGTGTCTGTTGTAGCTATGTTGTACATCGCTAGGTGTGTGTTGTAGTTGTGTTGGACATCGATGGGTGTCTGTTGTAGTTGTGTTGGACATCGATGGGTGTCTGTTGTAGTTGTGTTGTACATCGATAGGTGTCTGTTGTAGTTGTGTTGGACATCGATGGGTGTATGTTGTAGTTGTGTTGGACATCGATGGGTGTCTGTTGTAGCTGTGTTGTACATCGCTAGGTGTCTGTTGTAGTTGTGTTGGACATCGATGGGTGTATGTTGTAGTTGTGTTGGACATCGATGGGTGTCTGTTGTAGTTGTGTTGGACATCGATAGGTGTCTGTTGTAGTTGTGTTGGACATCGATGGGTGTCTGTTGTAGCTGTGTTGTACATCGATGGGTGTCTGTTGTAGTTGTGTTGGACATCGATAGGTGTCTGTTGTAAGCTATGTTGGACATCGATGGGTGTCTGTTGTAGTTGTGTTGGACATCGATGGGTGTCTGTTGTAGCTGTGTTGTACATCGATAGGTGTCTGTTGTAGTTGTGTTGGACATCGATAGGTGTCTGTTGTAGTTGTGTTGGACATCGATGGGTGTATGTTGTAGTTGTGTTGGACATCGATGGGTGTCTGTTGTAGCTGTGTTGTACATCGCTATGTCTGTTGGTGTTGGACATCGATGGGTGTATGTTGTAGTTGTGTTGGACATCGATGGGTGTCTGTTGTAGCTGTGTTGGACATCGATAGGTGTCTGTTGTAGTATGTTGGACATCGATGGGTGTATGTTGTAGTTGTGTTGGACATCGATGGGTGTCTGTTGTAGCTGTGTTGTACATCGCTAGGTGTCTGTTGTAGTTGTGTTGGACATCGATGGGTGTATGTTGTAGTTGTGTTGGACATCGATGGGTGTCTGTTGTAGCTGTGTTGGACATTGATAGGTGTCTGTTGTAGTTGTGTTGTACATTGATAGGTGTCTTTTGTGTTGGACATCGATAGGTGTCTTTTGTGTTGGACATCGATAGGTGTCTGTTGTAGCTGTGTTGTACATTGATAGGTGTCTTTTGTGTTGGACATCGATATGTGTCTGTTGTAGCTGTGTTGTACATTGATAGGTGTCTTTTGTGTTGTAGTTGTGTGATGTTCAGTACATTTATTTCAAAAGTTGACGTTGGATAGAATCAATAGATTCTATGCAAAAGGGAGATCACTCTATCAACCATGCTCCTCTATACACCCACATGTTCAGAAGCCATCGAAACACATTTTCAGCTTTTAACATTTTATGTACGCATCTTCACCTCATCACATTCGTATGTCATATTCGTTGGTCATATTTCAGGTCATGGTACCCCTACCCCTACTTGTCTATACCAACCTTCTCACTCACTTTCATTGAAGCCCCTACTTGTCTATACCAACCTTCTCACTCACTTTCATTCAGCCCCTACTTGTCTATATCAACCTTCTCACTCACTTTCATTCAGCCCCTACTTGTCTATATCAACCTTCTTACTCACTTTCAATCAGCCCCTACTTGTCTATATCAACCCTTACACAACCCCTATACTTGTCTAGACCCGTGAAGATCCGGGCTAGAATTGATCTTCAGCAACCCATGCTTGTCGTAAGAGGCGACTAACAGGATTGAGTGGTCAGGCTCGCAGACTTGGGTGACACATGTCATCGTATCCCAAATGCCTAGATCGATGCT